TTTCTTTGTTACTATTATATTGTTGCTCATATATTCTATTTACAGACCAATCTTATATATCATATCCTGTGAAGCATTGTTTAAATATGTGAATGCATTGCTGTTCCTTTTTTATTTCTCTTTTTGTTGTTGTTGCTTTATATTTTTAAATCCTTATAAAATTTATGAGGTAATTAGATGCAATATTGTAATGAACGCTGAAAATTCCATACCTGTACCACAAATACTGATTGGAATAAAGCCATTATTATTATTATTATTATAACTACTACGTAGATGTTTAACGAAGACCAAGAACCTTCACCTTACAATCAAGAAGTGCATACAAAGAAATCAAATGGGTCACCAGCAGAATATCGGATATTTGACCACGGCTGTTCACTACTTTCTTCAATGCTTTATTCTTACTTCTCAGATTCTCCTATCGCTGTACATCTGTCTGCAGCTGCACCTTCCTCTCCGCAATTATCCCTCCTCCATCAGCTATCAGGTGTCCGTTTTGATTCACTCCGTGCGTTTTCGTTTGGAAGCAAGTAGTGATATTTCCATCTTATGCATAACATTTATATGATGAGAGGTACAGTTTGCCATTTCAGCCCATCAGCTGCAATCCATTGGGGTGGAGTTTGGGAACGTACTATCAGCACCGTTCGTAGGGTTCTAGGTGGATTGATTGATGAACACCGTATGATTTACTGATAGAAGCTCAATGTATTTATTGTCAACAACATAGCTCTTGTTCCAATCACTTGGGACTTTGAAGACCTTGAAGTGTTAAAACCTGCCAAGCTTGGTTCACTAGGAGACAACTTGGTAGGTATTGGTCCCTCGAATCTCAGTGATGATTTCCCCTTAATCTGGAGAGAAGCCAACTATTTAGCGGATGCGTTTAGGAATCTTTCTTCTAAGGAATATGTTACAACAACGATACAAATGGATGGACATAAGTACGAATGAATAGGTTGGTGACTAAGTTATCACATTATCAGACTTCTCTCATGGAAATCATTGACACACTGGTGCCCGTGCAACAGGTGCTGCCTAGTAAAGATGGTTAAGCTAGACAAGTGGACGTGAAAACGCCTAGGGAAGTATTGGTATGGGATATTAGGAAAGTCTGTCTATTGAGAGCCAGCGATAATAGGGATTATACTGTCAACTGCGGGCCGTTTTGTGTTCAGCCGTTGTGTTCTTCGTATTTGGATGTCTGATAACCCCATATTTGAAGGTTTGTCTGACACATTTTGTTAAATAGAACAATGCTTTTCCAGTTCGTCAGCAGATTGTTGTCGGTACTTTCTCATTTGGAACTAACTGAATTTGTTTCGTATTTGATCGAAGACTGCTTATCCGTTTCTTAGCAGGTTTACTCATCCAGTGGTTACAACAGGGTGGACAATTGCAAACTCAACCTTGTGATCCATTTCCCTCATGATTGTCACACTGTTGGAACTGATTGAATCCCGGCCGATAGCTGCTACCTTGACGTGGTGGTTGGGCTTGCATATCGCAATGAACCAACGAGCTACACTGGATGGAACTTATGTTCCTGTAGGTCCTACCATGCCAGAAAGGTTGTTTGGATAGCGGTTAGACAAAAAGCAGCTACCCAATCCAACACTATGATTCAAACAAATCCACAAAATATCATGCCGGATCGGTCGGGGCCCGGATTAACAACGACCGCGCTTCCTGCTGCCGTGTCACAGGGCAGAAGTGATGAATATGCTACTGAGACACACAAAACAAAAAAAAACAAACAAAAGCAGGCTGCGTGTGACCGGCCTCAAGCAGTTGTCCCCTGGGCTCTGTGGTCACGCAACACTAACCTTTTCTCTATTTCAGGTACCCGAAGACTCAACCAACTTCCACGGTGTGGGCAGCCGGGAAGTAACAACCGCCCACACACTTCCAAAAGCACACGAAGCCTACCTGAGCATCACTCTCCCCTACTCACATCACCTTCCTCATCTTGCTTCTCTACTACAGCTAGCACTATTCTTCAGGCTAGTGAGCCATCTTCACTTCACTCTGTGTCCACAAATAACGATGACAGCCATAGAAACAACCCAGATAGCCTTTTAAAGCCACGTCGCCGATTTCATATAGGAAATTTTAACGTCAGGACCCTCTTCCAAATCGGACAACAGGTATCACTAGGATGAACTCTGGAATCTCGAGCCATGGATGTATGTTGTGTTTCGGAGACACGCATACAAGACGCGAGTGTGGTCATTCACTTGACCTAAAGGCGGCATTCGATTCTGTCGACCGAGAGGTTCTCTGGCGATGCTTGGCTGTAAATGGAATGCCGAGAAAATGCATTGCACTGATTAAGGTACCCTACTCGTACTCATGCAGCCAGGTGAGTTGTCATCTGAAGTGGTGACGACTAGTGGCGTCCGTCAAGGATGCCCATTATCCCCATTCCTATTCAACTTCATCATAGACGTACTAATGGACTTAACCCTAACACACTTCAGCGACTCAGGGATTGATTTGCTACCAGGGAAGAATCTCGTCGACTTAGAATATGCGGACGATATAGTCCTTCTAGGCGAGGACGCTGACAAAATTCAGAGTCCACTGAACACCTTGAGCAACAATCTTCGTATGTTTAGCATGCGATTCGCCTCTGTAAAATGTAAGATGATGCTGCAGGATTGGACTTCACCGACCCCTAGATTAGAAATAGGAAGTGAAGTGTTAGAGCACGTTGACCGCTTCACTTACTTGGGAAGTGCCATCATCCCCAACGGGTTGATCTCCGACGTAATCTCAGCACGAATACAGAGGGCTAGTTTCGCATATGCTAGTTTACGCCGTCTCTGGCATAGACGCGATATCCAACTATCGACCAAAGGGCGTGTGTACTGCTCAACAGTCCGCTCCGTCCTCCTTTATTGCTGGCTGTGAGACCTGGCCATTGAAAGCAGAAGACATGAAAAGACTAGCTGTCTTCGATCATAGGTGTCTGCTCTCTATCTCCCGCGTGAAGTGGTATAATAAGGTGAGCAACATTGAGGTTAGGCATCAAGTGCTAGGTAAGGTGGGGAAATCAATAGACGAGACTGTGAAATTACAGCGACTGAGATGGTTAGGACATGTGCTACGTATGCCTAGTCATCGTCTTCCTCGACGGGCAATGTTAGCTGATATAGGGCCAGGCTAGAACTGAGCTAGCGGTGGTCAAACAAAAACATGGCACCAGTCAATGAAATCCACAACAGTTAGTCTAAGCCACGAAGGAAGGTGTAGACTTCCTGGTTGGGGTCGTCGGGACGGTAAAAACCAATGGTTGGAAACAATTGGTGACATGGCTCAAAATCGTTCTCAAACTGAAACAGTTTGGATTAACATGGACGCAAGTGAAAAATACAGCAGAAGACAGAAGCAAGTGGAGAAGTGCAGTTGAAGCCCTATGTTCCACTAGGAACCCAAGGGAATAATAATAATAATATCTCTGTTTACTGTCTATACTATGCATTTCTCCTACTTTCTTCTCTTGCTTTGTGTGCTACAAGAAGGGAGTGTGGCGACTTGAACTGCCGCACGTATGTGCAAAGTTCTATGTCGAAAACCGACCGACCAACTGACTGAATTTGTTTCGTATTTGATCGAAGACTGCTTATCCGTTTCTTAGCAGGTTTACTCATCCAGTGGTTACAACAGGGAGGACAATTGCAAACTCAAGCTTGTGAGCCATTTTCCTCATGATTGTCACACTGTTGGTGTAGGCACGATTGGCTGGCTGGCGGCTGTGCAGGGGATATCCTCGACTACCATGTGGGAAAACTGCAGTTGAATTATTAAGTCTCTATACCTTCGCTGAGCTGACAGGATGGCGTAAGAATCAGTTTTAGCGCATCTTGTACATAACCCACAATCACTCATGAAGTAGTCGAATTTGTCGTGATGCCGTATGTCAATGGTGCTGAATTAGTTGATGAGGCGTTTCGTGATCGAAGTATTTAGTATCTAGCACAACAAACCGACTGGATGGCTTAAAAGGTGGGTGAGATTATCTTAGCTAATGAGATTTGGAAACAGCACACGACTTCTGACGTACTCACAACAAATGTTAAACATTAGAAAATAAGCTTTCCATTGTATGTTTGTCACATCAACTGCATGGTCAATTGAGTACTTAGTATATCGTTACAGCACACAACTAAAATTCAGGTAAATACAATTGTACAAATAAGGAGTGTCTACGTCAGCTATGATGAGCACAGAACCAATTAGGAAGTGTAAGGTGTTTACGAACATGGAAAACATCTCACATATTTAATAACGTAATGAATAGCTTTCTGGTGCAGAGCTAATGCTGTATGTTTCATTATTTTGGTCTAATTTGTTGTTGATGTGTGGTGATTGACAATTTCTATCTCTGTATTGTTTAAATACTTACTGTTGTTTGTTAATATATCTATTATATGATTTGAATGATATTTCCGCCAAATACAAATTCCTAAATTCATCCCTCTCTGTGTTTTGGTTGAATTCCTGTAATTCGGTCATTGCGAAATACTACTATTACAAATAATTATAACATTTTGGCGTCGCTATGGAATTAAATAATCTTGGAAAGTTTCCTATAAATGGTTCGCCGCGGGAAATCGCCGATTATCTTGAATGTTTCGACGCATGGTGCATGTCGAAGAATGTTCGCGATGACAAAGTTGCAGCTCATTTTATTACTGCTATTGGGCTAGATGCGTACAGCCTACTGAAAACCGTATCATTTCCATATAAAGCAATTTCTCTGTCTTATGATAAACCCCGTGAACTTCTAACAAATCACTTCCACATAACAACTTTCGAAACACGAGAGAGGGCTCAGTTCAACAAACTTGTTCGTGCTCCCAACCAGAAAATAAGAGACTTTATTGTTCAACTTCAGATACAGGCTTCAAAGTGCAACCTTGGAGATCAGCTGTTGAGTAAAGGCGGTGTAATCTCCACCGCAATTTCTCCACCACAAGCGACAATCAATTGTACTAAAAGATTGAAATCCGCCGTTGGAATATTATTACCTATGAAAAAAAAGGAATGTGGTAAAAATCCGCGAAAAAAAACCCACGTAAGCGTACTAAAGCGTATCTAAAACATCATCAAAGCATCTCATTTATTACACTTCATATCGCTTTTAGGAAAGGATAAAAAACGGCGAAAATACAACATGGTCAACGTAAGTTTGTTTAAATTCTGAGTCATATTTGATAAAGTCTCGGGTCTGTAGTGTAAACTGAACCTTTGAACTTTTGTTTCAACGCACTCACCTACTTTTGGCACTACTTCATCTTCTAATTTGTGACTCTCCTGTTCATACTAGGTTCGCTCTCTCCTCTTGTTGTGCTTTCATTCAGCGCACTCTCCGAGCCTACTACTAAGCAAAACCACAGATACGTTGTATAACACCTTTATATTTATTAAATTTGATATTTCATTTGTGTAAAATAAAACTCCGTCCCCAGAAACACTTTCCGCGTCTCAAGTCTTTTTACTCTAATTCCGTTCGTCAGTACTTACACGTCAGGTAGAGTGTACTGCTAAGGTTATATCGCGGTGAAGATTTTACTAAGTGTGGTTACTTTGAGGTCTATCTCAGGTTTAGCCTAACACTTACAGGCAAATGACCAGTATGATCGCTCAGACAAAACCCACCTGAAAGTTCAGTTGCCACAGGCACCTAACGTAACGTAACGACCCCGAACCTTTGATGGTGTAACAACCGGTTGTTCAATAAAATCGTCACGTGAACAACAAATGATCCACCTAGGTGGTGTTAACAAATTAGCTGACTGCGCTGCAATTACCCAAACATATCACCACTTTTATAAGGCAGCAACTCTAAGAGTGATATTTTCTAGTCGCCCACTAATTCGGAGCAACCGGAAGGACAGACTTCCGCATATGACCACTTCAATGTTCATATATATATCAGTTCACCTGTTCTTGCGGAACTAGGTACATACGTGGTTCTATGCATGTCTTATCAAAACGTGTTAGAGAAAATCATCCAGCATGGCTCCAAAAAGAGGAGGCACTGGTCCAATCAGAAGCGCAAAACTGAACATCTCGTCAATACCTGTCACAGGATCTCAACTGACTCATCATTCAGAGTCATTTACAAAGTAAACAAAAATCTACCAAAGGCAGTCAGTGTGTTTCCGACTTGTTTGTAATCGGGAAGCTCTCGCCAAATGCATCGAAAAGCCAGGGCTATGTGTTAAAAAGAAACTAGTCCAGCCTTTACAACTACCACGAACCTAGTTCGGTATGTTCCCTTGGCCTTCAGTATTTTTCGTTGTTTTGCCCTCTCTCTGTGTGTAATTTTATCTGTTTGTCTTCATTTAATTCATCCCAATTTTTTCAGTTATAAAATCAGTTATTTTAAGTTTGTTTCCATGCTCCTCCTGATCACACTTGTAATCTCCTTTAGAACAACCATTTTAAAATTATATTCTAATCCTGTGTAATTTTTTGTTTTCATGCCTCTTGTAATCTATATTCACACACACCTAACTTACATTTCAAGTTGAAAATTTTGATTTCAATTTGTTTCCATGCTCATTTTGTTCACACCTGTAATTTTTTATTTTTATTTATTTTTTATTTCATTATAGCTTGATTTCACAGAGTATTTTGGTACAAGTATGAAATTTTCAGCATGTGAAATTGGTAGCCCAAATTTAGGAGGCCGACCATAGATATCAGATGTGCGTCAGCGGGGGATCGAAACTCGGACCATGTGCATGGTCGGCGAGAGTCCTAACCGCTGTGCCACCGACGCACTGCGTAACTTTCGTCTCTAAGCTTCTTGTAATCCATATCAAGTTGAAAATAATTATCACCTTTTATTGTTATTTAAATACCTAGGCATCATTTTATCTGCTGATCTTTCCTGGTCGTCTCATATCTTGACGATTTCTAAGAAAATATTCCGTCCTACCTTCTACATCAAGAAGTTAAGACATTCCGGTATAACCCAACCCTTACTCCTACAATTCATTAACTCTCGCATTCTGCCTATTATTCTCTATTGTTCCCCCTTACTTTTTCCCGGGCTACTGAAGAAAGACTATAATACATTACGCAGGATGTTAGAGGTTGTCAGCAGGGTAAGCAACGTGCCACTTAACCAGCTTGTTGATATTCTGGTCGACAGGCACATGGACTTATGTGAAAAATGGGCCAAGTCCATTTTATCTAACTCACACCACCCTCTTCACTCACAACTCTCCTCTTGCATCTCATCAGGCAAAACCAGAAGCCTATATAGAAAACTATATGCTCGTACCAGCAATTACAAAAACTCCACCATACCCTACTTAGCTCGTGTTCTGTGCGATAAAGAAAGCATTAGGCGTGACACCTATAATTCATTAAATAGTCAGTAGTACAACTGGATCTCGTTTTTCCAACTCATATCATTTATAGGTACAGCATTTTCTTTCTTTCTTTTCTTTTTCCCTCTTTTTTTCCGTTATGTGCTGCTTTGTTTCTTTCTTCCACTCACGTCAGTAAATATGACAGCACCTACTTTTCTACACCTTCAAACACTATTCAGCTTTACCTTTGCTACCGACATGCCAATATGTTGTTGTCATATTGAACTGAGATTTCCTTAATCTATGTAGAATTCTATTTATTGATAATGTACTAACTGGATGCAATACTGTAGTAAAAATGCTGAGAATTCCATTCTCTATCACAAGTACTGTTTTGGAATAAAGCAAATTATTATTATTATTTAAAATTATTTCTCCAGTTATCAAATATTAATTTTGCACACGTTGTAACTGTTTTCTAATCCTATGCAATCTTGTCTCTAAGCCCCTTGTAATCTCCTATATTCGTACCTTCAAACTTTCATATCAATTTGGAAAATTATTATCACCATCGTTACTATGTGGAATTAATTAAACAAATAATAATTGTATCCGTGTAAACTAATCTATATAAATGTGATTGTACAGCTGCTTTTGAGAATGAAATCACCAAAAAGATCGCCATCGTTGCTGAACTTCTTGTTCTTTTCAATCATCTAATGTTCCGATGGGTATTTTCCACGACTTTTATAAGTGACTACTACTTTAAGCTATAGGAATTTAGAAGAAAATGTGTCCGCTAATGCAAAGTAAACATCAACGAGTAGATTGGTAGAAACGACCCTATAAACTCACTTGTAACACCACTAGCACCACCACCCCTAGTACGAACAATAGTCCAATTTTCCAACACTGATGATCGTGGCGTTGGAATACGCCACGAGTGACACGCTGAATGCAATCCGATGATGTCAAAGATGACAGCTCATCTAAAATGAGAGACGAATGACGTCAACTGAAACAGGCATATATATATGTATATATTTCAGTGGGTTATCAGTCGCGTACATCTATCGAGGTTTCACAGTTCAACTATTTTTCAAGCCATTTAGGTATATGTATGTATGTTCTCTCACCCTTACATGCAAGCAAGACACCATTACTCCTCCTGCCAATGTATGCATCCACACACACACACACAACACGGAATGTGACGTTATCACTTGTGCAATGTTGAGGCGTCTATGGTAGAGCATGTCTTTGGTGGCTTTTTCGATCATTTAAAACAACCTAGTCCCTTCAATAAACTTCGATAGGACTATTAGAAATCATTCCTCCTTTCTTTCTTTCTTTCTCTCTCAAAGAAACAATCTGTAATAATGCTAAACCAAGTGCTTTCAACTGGCTCGATGAGTCACACACTCGGCCTGATAAAGAACATTGACGAACATTGGCCAGATATGTTCACTCATACCATTTCAACTAAACTTCGTACACCCTTTGATTGAATACAAGCATACTGTAAATAAGGTGGGTTTTCCTTTTATGGAAAAGATGCCGTTGTCAACAAATTCTCTCCTCCTCTGAGAAATGCAGGGCGACACTGCTGCTTCACAACTCACAATTAACAATGTGTCTAACCACAGGGAACAGAGGATCTCAATGAAAAATTGCTAACACGGTGAATTGTGAAACACGGTGATTACATAAACATTACACATGGCACAACTATTACTTCTTTTGAGTTTAAAACAGGTGTGTAAGTCTGTTATAGACTGATGACCCCCCCCACACTCTATAGGGTGAGGTCAGTAATGAACTATTTCAGAACCATTCGTTGTCTGTTGGATCAAAATTTTCGCCTGACTTATAAGAAGAGATCTGCCTTCAAACCATCTTCAATGTCTATTGTAACAGTGTCACGCATACTTAATCAATGTAACGTAGCACAGATTCCTCTACAACCCGCCTCCTCCTCACTTTGTGTTTCACACGTCGAGACAATAACAACCCCTAGTCTAATCTTACTATCATTGTCATTCTTATTAGTATACGCTCATTCTTCAAAAGCCTTGATGATTGGAATGGATGGATACTTCTAATCTCATCTCCCATACTTCTAGTTAGTGAGTTAAGTGAAGCGCGTTCATAAAATACTCAATGAATGTACGATCCAGTTCCAGACTGATTAAATTGTTATTACAAATAAACGCTTTTTATTTTCAAATTCAGATAACACACGCTTACTTATCACAAATCTGTTTCCGATCGCCTCAAAAAACAACACAATGCCAGAGTCACTATGGTCATTAATAATGGTCAATCAATCTACGGAAAACAAACAAACTGCAACCAACCACCACAGTGTGTGTAAACGTCAGTATAATCACAATATGAACTAATTGATTGACCTTAGCAGCAGCACAACAACAGACTTTTATTTGTGTGGAGGAGAACAATCAACTTACTGGTAATTCTGTGCGTATTCAATGGCTCAGATAAACGCATAGAATCTTGGTTAGGGACCTCGTCAAATAGGTCTTCTGTGGTGCGACCCAAAGATTTTCCTCCACGGTTCTGTAAAATGTTAATGACATTTATGTCAATTACTAAAATCAACTAATTACCATTTCTAAAGCAACTTTAGGATAAAACAAGGAATTTAAAACAACAACAACAACAATTCTAACTTTAACAGATGACAATTTACATTTTGTAACAGAACAAACGTAAAACAGGAGAGAAGTGCGCTGTGCAATAAATAAACACCCTGTGGAAGTCAGTCAGTCAGTCAGTCGGGTATTTCACTGACAATAGAGATAACAACAAGCCAAGACCTTATGGAGGACTTGGGCTATACACCCCAGAAAAGTTAGCAGTAATGCAGATTTATTATGTGGCTTAATGTTGACTTAGAATTGAATTGGTGGATGGTGACTAGCAGTGGAATCCAGTCCAGGATAACGCGCATTTCGTCCTATTTGCAACTCGTCAGTTGGCTGGATGTACCTGCATTTCCCAGTGAGTCAGTGATGATGTTCCCACCACGGAGGCTCCAAACCAATGCCCATAGTTTCAAACACCAGCCAAAGCGTTATCCACTAGACGACTTGGGCCACGAGAGCCACCCCACCTCTTGTGCAACGGTTCATAGTAATTATTCAATTGAATTTTAGATTTTCCCGTTGACACTTTGGCGTTTGAAACTATGGGCACTGGGTCAGAGCCTCCGTGGTGGGAACATCATCACTGACTCACTGGGGAATGCAGGTACATCCAGCCAACTGACGAGTTGCAAATAGGACGAAATGCGCGCTATCTTGGACTGGATTCCACTGCTAGTCAGCATCCACCAATTAAATTTTAATTAAACGCTCTTAATACAATCACTTAATCCTATTTCAAAACTATGGTGGAGATATGTGGATGACACTTTCACAACATATCTCTCTCCAGCTTCTTGACACATATAAACTCACTAGTAGAGGGAATAAAATTCACATTTGAATCGCAAAATAAACAAGGAGAATTAGCTGTGATGTTAGAGTGTAAAATAAAACGAATAGAAGAGGGTAAACTGCACACAAGTGTTTATAAAACACCAACGCATTCTGGTAATAGATATTTAGACTTTAATTCATCTCATCCGTAGTTATCTGTTAAGGCAGGCTTAGTTAAGTTAGGCGTCTAACAAACCGAGCAGTAGCACTAAGTTGTACAAGAAAAGACCTAAATGATGAAATAAAACAGACAGAAAGAAGAAGTAGCGTTGGTGTCAAATAACTAACTATCCTATGAAATTCATTAGGAAGATCAGAAAAAGTGAAAAGCAAAATAAAAATAGTAGGGAAACTAATAATGATAACATAAATAAGAGAGAATATAAGTCATCTACAGCAGTTATACCATATAAGGAGGGGACTTCTCAGACACTCCCTACGTAGGATTCTCAATAGAGCAGGAATTAGAGTGGTGGCATTCAAACCTACAAACTCACTCAGCTAGGACAAGCTCTGTAGGTTAAAGGACCCTGTCGGTTGACCCTATTAGACAAAATAATATAATTTACAAAATACTCTGCAATGACTGTGAGTTAGGTCAACTACATAAGTCAAACTAGTAGATCGGGGGTAATCAGATTGTCGGAACATAAGAATTTAGCTAAGGGAAGAAAGGTTGACCCCATCCGAGAAGACAAGTAATTTAGGAAAAAGCTCAGCACTACATTGCACTGCATGCATTAACACAACCATACAATGGCATGGTGGGAGAGGGTTAGAATTCTAAAAAGTAATCTAGGTAAGTGGGGAGAGAGATTGATTACTGAATCCTGCCTGGTTCGTCGAGTCTACACCCAAAGACTCAGAACCAGCAGGATTCAGTAATCAACCTCTCTCTCTCTCTCCACCTACATAGATTACTTTTTAGAACTTTTTTTAACAAAACAAATATGGAAGACATCATTACCACCAGTCAGTCAAATCAGAGCAGGATAATAAATGATCTTTAAATTCTAATTCAATTGAACTTCATCACAGCATTCTAACAAGTTACTTATTTTGACTATAAAAACACTCCTCTTATTTCCTATCTGATTGTACTTGATTGATAACACTCATATTATTATTATTTCTGAATGTAAATTATCCTATATTACTGATTTGTATTCAAATGTCTAATCCTGAATTCCACACATGTATATAAATGAAGGAAAAAGTTGTGTGAGTGAGTGAGTGACTTGATATGATTATGAGTAGGGATAAGTTGTGCTCGAAACTTGATCATCAGTAAATATTACTGTATAACACTGCACTGTGTGACGGATGAACCCCGACATGTGCATGGTCGGCGAGCGTCTAACGTATCACCAGCACAGTTTATCAAAATAAAATCTTATCAATAATGAAGAAACAATCAGACTGAATCAGATCACCTTAAGCATTTGACTCTCACTCTTAACTAACTTATAAGATGCAGACTCTCTGAAGTTAACAAACATAAGCATAATTCAGCATGTTCAGAGAGCAGTTCAAATCACAAGTAGAACTCTATATGCAGGCATCACGTAGTCCTCAACCGAGTTGTTGACACAGACAATCGAAAAAGAACGAGACGAAGGAGACGAAAACGTCGATATACAGGAATCATAACAATACTGTAGTCATTCCCGATAAAGACATCAGAAAACGGAATAGATTCAGTAGATATATTCATCAAAAAGTCACAATCGACTCCTCAAAGTACATACACAGACATAAATAGGATCCAATGAATGTGACCCAGGGTTTCACGAAGCAGAGTTGACATAGCTGGTCCACTCTCTCAAAAGCCATCTCTGTCTTCAACCTACTTCAACGGAATACACAAGCCAAATATAAGTGGATCCCCTCTCAGTCTGAACACTATCCATCCATATCGACTAACTCCAAAAGCCTATCAACGTATTACGTTCGCCCGCACATACACAACACCGAATTCCTGCATGTGGGATTTCCATACACTACATATACATGATGCTGAATCTCAAAGGTAGTGATTGGTGTACGATTATCGATTCAAAACGGATTTTGTGACAGAGTAATTCCTTCAAACAGTTGTGATTATTCATAGCGAGATTTTAATAGTGATCCATAAAAAAAGCATCAGACGTTTCTGTGAAAATTCTACAGCGGCCAACAGACCGCGAAAAGTCAATCATAGCGAAATAAGAGTAAGACGTCAAGAGAGCAGGATTTAAAGAATTCATCGAAATTTCGAATGAATCCTAAAACGGATTATTGAAAAAATCAAATCAAAAAAAGAAACACACGAAGAAGATGCAAACGTCAGTACACAGGGATCATCATTACAACTTCAGGCAGCTTCAATAGTCTCCACGAGTAAGCATTTGTCAAGTGACACTGAACAACCAATCATGGTAAAGCTAGTATATATTCTATGCCAAACTTTCTCTTCACATACTTCAAAACATTATCAATCTCTAAATTCCGTACAACTGCGAAACTGTTAAACCTATTTCTATAAAACACAAAATAAATGAACCAGAAAAGAATATCCTTTTCGATAACTTCCTCCTCTTCTCGCTCTACAGTTATATATATGCATGTTTATTTATATACATAGAATATTCTAGATTAGTAGTCAGTAACAGTATAAGAGTGCTTTTTAAATAATGTCGATTTGCAAAGTAAGATCACAATGGAATCACCACAGTTCATTAAAGATGCTTAAATAATAATTATAATTATAATTGTAATAAAGATATAGTAGAAAATAGAATATCAACTAAAATTAGGAAAATTCCACTGGCTACACAGGCCAGTTACATAGGCCGTACAATTAGGCGTGTTTCTCGTCGAATTTACGAACATCACACTCCATAGTGAGTGGTTAAGCAAAGGACAAACAAAATCTATTCGCAGCGCTATTCTATCTCATCTTGTGGATACAGAACACAAGACTGATTGATATTAACCATGCTTTCAGGGCAATTTACCGCATACCTACGAACCTCAATTTCGCCTTAAGAGTTCCACTGCTAAATATTCCTGAGGCTGGCCACTGGATCCAGATTAACAAGCCTAATTTGTGCATCCAAAAGAAGTTGGTTGGTTCAGACATTATCCTTACCGCTTGGCTATCCAGGTTTAAATGATCCTGAATTTTAGTTGATATTCTATTTGCTACTATATCTTTATTACAATTATAATTATAATTATTATTTAAGCATCTTTAATGAACTGTGGTGATTCCATTGTGATCTTACTTTGCAAATCGACATTATGTAAAAAGCACTCTTATACTGTTATTGACTACTAATTTAGAATATTCTATGTATATAAACATGCATATATAAGTGTAGAGCCGGAAGAGGAATTTATCGAAACGAATATTCTTTGCTCGATTATTTCGTGTTTTATAGATGTCTGAATGAATATTTTTGCTATATTGAAATCTATTTCTAGTTAACCGCAGCACTATACAAAGCAGTGTTTTACCGCTATTTCCAATATGCTTGTGACCATCTCAAGTTCTCAGCGTTGTGAAAAAAGGTTCGACGGTTTCAGGTAGTTTCAATGGCCTCATTCTACAGGCTATTTAGGTCTTTCTAGATAGTTGAACAAACCTTTCTTAATTATCAGATTCCTTCACACTATAAGGACGTTCTGAAGATCTTAAGCTATTCAACTACCATCACTAGTTGAAGCTCAGAAATAATATCTGCTCAAGAATAATGCATTCTGACTCACAAATGGAGGACATTATGATGCCGTCACTCACAGTGGTTATCTGAATGGATGTGTTCCAATCCTTCACAGACATGCATATATCACGTCACGATCTCTAGGATTCAAACATGTTCATTCGAGTACCTAAGTATCTGCATGTCTCCACATCCCCAGTACAGTATTCTTCTTTTGGTGAGTCGTTAGAAGTACTCTGCATCAGCGTGGAGCTTCCTTTTGTGATGATGAAACAATCGTTAGCTTATTAACACATACAAACTCTTTTTACGAGTTGATCACGGATTGACATCAGCTAGAGAACGATTGAAAACCAGAGAGTAGTGGACAGCTGTGTCATCAAACTAGGATGAGACTTTCCAGTCTGGATAATCTTCACCTCTGTATACACTCACTACTCTGTAATTAACCTCATCCATCCATCCTCTCTAGGATTATAATATTATCCTACCTGAGAATGAATCTTCAGAACACATTCATTCGATAAAACAAAAATATTATCTACCTTCAATCTGATTTCACCCACCCTACTCATCACCGGTTGGTTGGGTAAAACTTCGTGATATGTACAGCGGCGGAAAAAGGGAAACAAACCAGAACTTACAATTTCATCACCTTTCAGTCTTCCTGCCAGATCATTATTATCATTGACTCTGATACAGTCTGACTTGACGCGTTTTCTGGGATTCCCCGGTATAATCCAGTCTGCGCCGAAATCTTTCGGCTTTCGTCTCCGCTTCCTGTTCTCTTCACTATTTGACAGGCCCACCTATACGGAGAAAAAGCAATCACAATCAAAGAAAGCACAAACACATACATCACACAACTGAATTCACGTGTGAATATAATTATTTAGAGAATGATTATTTTATTATTTTTGTTAGTACTCCGTCTCTAATTGCATGTCATCTTTTTAAAATAATTTTATTCTAATTGCCACTTCAGTTTTACTTAGAAGTTATCATTGTGGAAAGCGGTTTGCTTTCTTTAAGAATCTGTTATGTAATAAACCTGTGCATACGCTTATTTCTTACTTATTCGGGATTTTTCCAAAATCATGCATTACGTAATCCATGTGTTGCAAGGATTTCTACATTTAAAAAGTATGCATTAATTTACTTCGTTAATTATCACCCCATTGACACGTTGATACTGCCTAGTGATTGTTAACAAACATACCAGTGCCGCTTGATTGGTAAATTGTTGTGTATTCTAATAAAGATGCTATCTATACATATATTAGAGTACAGCCAGACATCAGTATCTAATTGAACGGTAATTATTTCTTTGCTCAATGCTTCTGCTTTCCAAACATAGAATTTGGTAGAGTCCAGTCAGGCTCGTATATGTCATTGATTATCCAAATATACAAGAAGGGAGACAAGTATTACTGTGATAATCACACGGCGATTAACGTGACTAATATGGTGGCATCTAAAGTTCTAGGCTCAACAATAATGCCTCCAATACTAAGTGGTGCTCTGGAGGCACAAACACGAGAGAATCAGGGTGGGTTTAGACCAGGAAGAGGGTGTATTGATCATATCTTCACCCTCAGACAGATTCTGGAACAGAACATAGGCATACTTACTGTCAGTGTCCAATAGTGGGCATATTTCTTGACCTGAAATAAGCATTCGAATCCGTTGACCAAGATGTACCATGCCGATGTTTGGCTGTGAAGGAAATACTGAGAAAATACGCCGCACTGATCTAGGCACTCATTCTACTCGAACTCATGCAGTCAGCCAGGTAACAGCCTATGGAGATTTGTCATCTGATAACTGTGGTGACAACCACTGATGTCACCAACCATCAGGGATGCCAACTTCTGTTTAATTCTACATAATACAGGTACTAATGGAATTAACCCTAACTGACTTCAGAGACTCAGACATTGACTTGTTACCAGGGGATAATATCACCGACTCAGAATATGCAGATGATGAAGTCCTGCTCCTAGGTGAAGGCGATGACAAAATACAGCAGAGTCTTCTGAACACCTTGAGGTGCAATCTACGAATGTTTGCCATGCGATTCGCTCCCGCTATCAAATGTAAGATGATGTTACAGGACTGGACTACACTGACTCCTACCTTAAAGATAGGGAGTGAAGTGGTTGGTGGAGTGTGTTGACCACTTCACTTATTTGGGAAGTTGCATCAGCCAACGCCAGCGGGTTGATCGCTGACGAAATCTCAGTATGGATACAAAAGGCTCGTTCGACACATGCCACTTTACGCCGTCTCCGGAGTAGACGTGATATCCGGCTGACTGGCTGTCGACCAAAGGGCGTGCGTACTGCTCAGCAGTCCACTCCACCCTCCTTTATGACTGGCTGGCTCTGAGACATGGCCATTGAAAGTGGAAGACATGGACAGGTTGCCTAGCTCTGTCTTTGATCATAGGTGTCTGAGTTCTGTCTCCCATGTTAAGTGGCATAACAACGTGAGCAATATTGAGGCTAGCCGTTGATTATTAATTAGATGAGGAGGGGAAATCAATCGACGAGGTGGTGGCGTTACATCAATTGATGTGGTTAGGACATGTGTTGCGCATGCATCCCCAGCCATCGCCTTCCACGACCAACAATGTTAGCAGACTGACACAGGATCAGGTTGGAAAACCTCTTAGTCGTGGCATAACCAAAACGTGGCTTCATCAGTCAATGAAATCCACAACAGTTAGTTTAAGCCAGCCAGCCAGTCACGTAGGAAGGTGTAGACTTCCTGACTGGTTTTAGTTCTCGGGATGGTAAAAACCAATGGCTGGAGACAATTGGTGATATGGTCAAACATCGTTTTCAATGACGCAGATGCATTTACTCCTTGTGACTTATAATATTCAACAAAACTATAAGGTTCCTCGATATTACTATTCTTTTCTGCCTCATATCTCTGTTTACTGTCTCTGTTTTTGCACTCCTTTTTACTGTCTTCTCTTGCTTTGTGTACTGAATGTAGTGTGGCGACTCAAACTGCTGCACATCGGTGCAAAGTTCTATTTATTTATTTATTTATTTAAACGCAGAAAAACTTGGTACAATATGGCACCAAGAAAGATGCGCCACACAATATTGTGTGAGGGCTGAGATACTGCCCGGACGCCCAGACCGAAGCAGGTGGTTTTCCCAAGGGACCACCCCCGAGCCTTTGACTTGGAGTCTAATCCGCAAGGCAGCGGAGCAGCGTCAGGAGCTGCGTTCCCATGGTTGCCGGTGACCCATATGGGTTCATACGCCATTTGATCCGATTGAATTCTGGAGCCCATGTACCCCATGGTAACTGCTTTTAGTCTAACCGCTATCCAAACAACCTTCCTGACATGGTAGGACCTGCAGGGACATGAGTCGCAGCCAGTTTAGCTTTTCGGGTCACTGCGGTATTCAAGCTCCCGGACCACCACGGCAAGGTAGCAGTTATCGGTCGCTGCAAAGTTCTACGTTGAAACCAGTCAGTCTATATTTCGGCATACATACACACACACACACAATCGTGCCTATCCAGGTCAAGCCGTCTTCAATTCTGGACTAAATCGAATGCTTCGGAATTAGTAATTCCCAAGAAGATATTGCACTCAAACATGTTTTTAGTGTGAAAAATAGACGCACACTCAATCGGAAACCGAATGCATTCAGTGAAGACAACCCCCCTCTTTGGAAAGCCAGAAAGACTGAATCTATCTACTGAACACACAAATTAACCACCACTTCATGTCTCTCTCCCTCTACGTAGGAATCCTAGTGGAACTTACACTTAACGCAATACACTACTGAATAATGAATTAAGTATCTTGTGAATAGGTCTCTTACTTTCCAGTCAGTACCATTAGGAAAAATTCTCACATCAATTATGTTTACCGCACTGAAACACCACCTGTGTGTGTAAATCTTTATTGTGATTATTATTATTATTATTATAAAGAAGGAAATGGCCAATCAGTGCGCTCTAAAGGATAGGCTATTCGTTCGAAAAACATGATTAAGGTATTCCCATATTTACACCATTCACGTCTCCACATAATCATCATATATTATTAAAGAGTGACCCGACGTAACCTTCTCCATCACATCACCATCATTAATACACATTCATGACATACGTTCCATCTTCGCCTAGTTTACCACCAAGACCCACTCTACAACCCGCCTCTAAGAAACACGTGTACATCAAGCTACCCTATATGGGCGAGGCATCATAGCAGCTTGATAACTACACAAAGACTGAACGCTGCTGTTAAAAAGACTTTTTATCCAGCTAATATCATAATAATTGAGAATGTGAAGCCAATATATGCATTCATCTAAGCCCTTTGAACATGCGAAAAATGATATCACATCACACTGTATTTACCAATTTGAATGTACGTGTGGCCACACACACACACACACAAACATACATAAGGAGGACTCATTGATCTCTGCAAGTAAGGACTGGCTTCAGATCATATCCCTGAATGACTACAGAAACAAATGGAATCTTCCGAACCCATTAATGGTGAGAACAGGAGAACTAGCTCCTCTATTGCGAAACATATTACACAGGAGACAGGACATAAAATTGACGTTAACACATCTTTTAAACCTATCTATAAACGCGTGTTTGGGTGACGGCGTATCCTAAAGTTTGTGGAAGCCCCAGCTGATAGTTAGAAAGTTTAAACCACCTTTATGCGTTCAAAGCAGCAATTCGTCATCACATTAAACCTTCCTTGGTAAACTTTGTTTTGATACCATAGCAGATGTACTATTACCTCTGCTATTTGGTTTAGCCATTCATCTTCATTCTTATTTTGATATTCAATATGTCCTCCTTTTAACTTGACCTAAGTAGTCTATTTTCTCACCCACCTCTTAACTCTTTATTATTTCCACAAATGTCTATTCCTATGACAAGTCTGTGTGTGATCAGATTGTTCGAAATGTGTTGCGCAAATATGCACATTACACGATTCAGCCAAATTACGTCTTCTTACTGCTTTATCTGGACTTATTCTTCGCTTAAATCGGAGGCACAATTATGACACAACGGGTTGCTGAAAGCCTTCAGGAAGCCAGTCAACCAGTCTGTGGGCCAACAAATACCCTGATGACACTGTTCAGTTGACCAGCCCGATCTACATGAGGAGGGACTTTGAAACCTGCATCTAGTGGCTAGAAGTCAGGTGCTTAAGTCACTAAGTCACATCTTCCCGAAGGAGGTAAAACCATTTCACATCAGAGTATGAAATCTGATGTGGAATAAACAATTAAGCGATAGGAGAAATACAACTTCCACAAAATATGCTCAGCAATAAGAGAAATATATTCAACTCACATTTGTCCTTAAGACCTCAGAATCACAATGTGGGGATACCAATGGATCAACATGATTGCTGGGTAGAAGCTTTTGAAATCTCAAGTTTTTCACCTCCGTCTCATTGATGGACACTTGACGTCTTCGTAAGCTAGTGAAAATGTTTAATGATAATATACACATCAGAATTATAATTCACGATTACATCATCGGCTGAAAATCATGCCAAAATTGTATAATAAAACAAAGTGAGGAAAACACGAGAGAAATACATTCATATTCTAATTTATAATGTCCTTCAGGACAGTTCTGTCTAGGGGGACGACAATTCTTCAGCAGTACACATCCATAACCCCAACGAGGACTGACTGCATGCACAACCTTCAGACTACGAGGCCAGCTCGTTGGTCAGACCATTCGGTCACTGACTAGGCAAGGAATCCAATGGTCCATGAATTCTAACTTCTTCTGTTCATTCACTATTTTTTCAACCAACTGATCGATCTCAATCCGTCATCCAAATTGACACCAATCAAATCTTCACAAATTAACACTTCACTCCACAATCCGCTCCGTCCTCCTTTATGGCTGGCTGGCTCTGAGACATGGCCATTGAAAGTGGAAGACATGGACAGGTTGCCTAGCTCTGTCTTTGATCATAGGTGTCTGAGTTCTGTCTCCCATGTTAAGTGGCATAACAACGTGAGCAATATTGAGGCTAGCCGTTGATTATTAATTAGGTGAGGAGGGGAAATCAATTGGTGACGTGGTGTGAAGTTACATCAATTGATGTGGTTAGGACATGTGTTGCGCGCATGCATCCCTAGCCATAACAGTTAGTTTAAGCCAGCCAGTCGCGTAGGAAGGTGTATACTTCCCGGTTTGAGTCCTCAAGATAGTAAAAACCAATGGCTGGAGACAATCGCTAGCATGGCTTAAAATCGTTCCCAATGGCGCAGATGCATTTACTCCTTGTGATTCATAATATCCTATAAAAATCTATTGTTCTTTCATATTACCATTCTTCTTCCCTCACACTTCTGTTTATTATCACTCCTTAATCTCTTGTCTTGCTTTGTATGATACATGGAGTGTGGCAACTCGAACGACTGCACATCTGTGCAAAGGAGTTCTACGTTCAAACCAGTCGGTCAGTAAGTCAGTCAGTCAGTCGACACTTCGAAGTGAAAATTAACAATTTGACAGGAGCAAGAGAATCTTCAGAGCAGCAGAATATTTTATTTACTTCACCTGTACACTCATTGGTCGAGTATGCCCAATCACATGCAATAATATCATGTCATCGTAAAATATCACGCACATGTTAATCAATCAGTAGTGCATTGATGTCTACAAAAGTCAGTCAATGAAATCTTCACAATTTGAACCCCACCTAGGAACTCAGACACAACACACAATTGCACCAAAACAAAAGTTTCTATACACCCACCCACACACACACACCGAACCAGTGGCAGTACTTTATCCGATCCAAGGTAGTCATTATATCACAGTGTTAACGTCAAATAATGGTAACATGAAAGATATTTATCTATCAATGGGGAAGGCAAACAAAATAATCTCACCGATAAACTTCATTTGTAGTACGGCAGAAAATCTCATATGGACTGTCAGGATCACTCAGGTGAGCCTGGATAACACAATTACCCCAATAAGCATCATCATTCTTTATTTGAGCACTAACCTAGTGTACGAAATGAAAAGGGACAAAAACAGAGAAAGATAAAAAGTTGTCATGTGAAAATAACCCCTTCGTAAGTAAACAAGTACAAGCGGCAAAAACAGATCAGACCACATATCAAACATATCAAAGTCAATGGTAACTACTTTGAGGCTTGTAAAAACACGACTCCCTTACAATTTCTCAACAATAATCTGCAACTGTGAATTCAACAAAAAAGGCAAGGAAGCTTGAAAAATACCCGCCTACAACGTGACATGCATACACAAGCAGATTTACAACTAGGTGGAATGCACAGTCAGTCAGTAAGTCAGCTGTATGGGGCCAGGTATGAATCATGAATGAATACAAATTATCCAAAGAATAAAAGGAACACTACAAATTGACGATTCCATGTAGACGACGAAATGGAGGGAACACGCGCTGCGCTGGCAAACACTGTGTGCCTCAGACTTCAGTTCATTGCAACTTCATCATATTCATCCTTCCATTATGTGGTAGTGGTGCATGACGAGTATAATAATCCTCTTATGCATATAATCAAACAGTGCTTACGTGAAGACCACATGTGTGTGTTTGTGAAATGGAAACTGCAAACTCACCTACCCGACTACTAATGCAACGTGCTGGTAATGAAGAGAATAGTATCACTAATACCACCTGTCAAGCAGCCACTACACCGATTAACAACTGAAAAACGTGTCTGAAACGCTGATCAAACCATTATCATCGAAGTAGCCACGCTGATCTAAAGGGATAGTCATAGTTACTCTCAACCTAAGTCCTCTATATAAAGCTGTCATCCACCCGAATTACAAAGTGGAGGCCCAGAAAGGAATTCCAACCACTCAAGAGCTATTAACCACCAAACCAAGACAACTCATCGCCTGCATCACTTGCTACATGGGAAAAGCAAATGTGGTAGAATACATAGATACTATGAAGAGTATTCTAAGCACCTAGCGCAGACATTTTAGTATATTCGGCATGTGATTCGTCTCTGAGAAATTTAAGATAACCAACGTTGCAGGACTGGTCTCCACCAATCGGGGGCTAACGATATTTTATCACACAAATGCCCGTTCACACTGAGTCGTATTGGCTGGAGCAACATAACTAGCGATTATGTGAGGTTAGGCATGGAGGATTACGTAAGGGAGCGAAAACCAATTGATGACGAAGCTACATTGATCGAGATGGATAGGCGTATCATCATGCTGCCAAGTCATCGCCTTCATAGTCCGACAACATCAGTTGAAATGGGATTACGCGTTAGAAAACAGTTTGGCATGGTCAAATCAAACCGATGCATCAATCCATGAAGACGACTTCAACTATTAGCTTGAGTCATGCAGTATGATGCAGATTGTCAGGCAGAGGTCCTGCTAACTCCCTCTGCACAAAGATCATTAAGTCGAAAATTCAGTCAGTCACCAGTGATAACGCTCTTATTATTTATCTGCTTCAATCAAGTCATTCTTAACAACCACTATACTGCTTGCTCCTGTCAAATTTTCAAATGTAACACCACTGTAGGACGGAGAGTGCAATAAAACTCATTCATCTCAATGTATTGCTCGTTTGAAAAGAAATCTCTGTGTGTTTCTGGAACATGTTCAAAGCAGTTGGTGGCCAAAAAGTCAAATGTACTGCATGTTTTATGCTAACTTCTTCAGGCATAAAAGTGCAGATGACAAATGCGCCATCAATACTCTTTACTCTCTATTTTTACTCAAACTTTTCTCTTGTTACTTTCAACAACACGCAACTTAACAAGATATCTTTCTTCATTTGCTTCAAGTCAATTTCAATTTCTCCGTTGATTGGATATACATTTCATCCTACTTCGGACTACTCACCAGCCAGATACACCTGAAATTCCCAGTGAGTGATGATGACCCAATTAGAAGTCGAACACATTACCACTAGACTAGAAACAAATAATAACTGATTCCCCCATTGCACAAGAAGTGGCGGCTGTCCTGACTACCAAAGTCGTCTAGCGAATGACGCTTTGGTGTTTCAAACGATGGGTGCTGGCTTCGAGTCTCACCGGGAACACCACCACCACCACCACTCACTGGGGAATGCAGATACATCCAGATGAATAATTCCAAATAGGACGACCAAATGTGCATCCCAGTGGATTCAACCGAATCAATTTAACACAGGATTTTCTACACCTATAGTTTCAATGAATACAAAACCATTTCCTCTGAAGATATAAAATCAGTAAGTTTATCATGAAATCAATTAACACTGAGAAAATTTGATTCTACGATATGTAAAATTGCAAATCTTTGTCACTGAAAGTCACTGAATATATTAAGACGGGTCCGTCCATATGAGGAAATTAAGATAAGACAATGAATAAGGTTAAGAAATCTACAGCGGAATTAATACGCAGAATGAAGCCGTCACTAGGTGAGTCTAAATGGTTTAATTTAATGCCTAAAACTAATAATGCTAGTAGAATATATGGTACTATTGAAATACACAAGCCAGGTGACCCCATACGACCAATAGTAGATTTCAGGAATACCCCTACTTATGAATTATCAAAACACTGAGCTCTGATATTATGCCCCATTAGAAATCGTTCAAACTCTAGACTAACTAACTAATTCATATGAGATGAAAAGTAAACTAAATAAATGATATTCAACTATAGAATGATAAGACAATGGTTAGTTTCGATATAACTAGTCTTTATACTAATATACCAATCAATATGCCCGCCTTAGAAGCAGTTAAAAAAGAACTAACTGCAGATCCTGAACTCACTCACTCATAGGACAAAGCTGCCCATTGAAGAAATTATTTTAGCAATTCAGTTATGCCTCACATCTACTATCTTTAAATTTCAAGGCAAAATATATAGACAAACAGAAGGTGTAGCAATGGGATGCATCACCAATATCCCTTGTCATAGCAGATATATTTTTGGACAGTTGGGAAAATATGGCTCTTAATACATTCACCTAATCCTACTCCAAAAATATGGTGGAGATATGTGGATGACACTTTCACACACAGTGTTAAAAACACAACATATCTCCCTCTAGCGTCTTGACACATATAAACTCACTAGTAGAGGGAATAAAATTCACATTTGAATCGCAAAATAAACAAGGAGAATTAGCTGTGATGTTAGAGTGTAAAATAAAACGAATAGAAGAGGGTAAACTGCACACAAGTGTTTATAAAACACCAACGCATTCTGGTAATAGATATTTAGACTTTAATTCATCTCATCCGTAGTTATCTGTTAAGGCAGGCTTAGTTAAGTTAGGCGTCTAACAAACCGAGCAGTAGCACTAAGTTGTACAAGAAAAGACCTAAATGATGAAATAAAACAGACAGAAGAAGAAGAAGTAGCGTTGGTGTCAAATAACTAACTATCCTATGAAATTCATTAGGAAGATCAGAAAAAGTGAAAAGCAAAATAAAAATAGTAGGCAAACTAATAATGATAACATAAATAAGAGAGAATATAAGTCATCTACAGCAGTTATACCATATAAGGAGGGGACTTCTCAGACACTCCCTACGTAGGATTCTCAATAGAGCAGGAATTAGAGTGGTGGCATTCAAACCTACAAACTCACTCAGCTAGGACAAGCTCTGTAGGTTAAAGGACCCTGTCGGTTGACCCTATTAGACAAAATAATATAATTTACAAAATACTCTGCAATGACTGTGAGTTAGGTCAACTACATAAGTCAAACTAGTAGATCGGGGGTAATCAGATTGTCGGAACATAAGAATTTAGCTAAGGGAAGAAAGGTTGACCCTATCCGAGAAGATAAGTAATTTAGGAAAAAGCTCAGTACTACATTGCACTGCATGCATTAACACAACCATACAATGGCATGGTGGGAGAGGGTTAGAATTCTAAAAAGTAATCTAGGTAAGTGGAGAGAGAGATTGATTACTGAATCCTGCCTGGTTCATCCAGTCTACACCGAACACTTGCAATAGGGATGACTCATCACTCATACCGGAAATATGTGCGTCGGTGGCACAGTGGTTAGGACTCTCGCCGACCATGCACATGGTCCGGGGTTCGATCCCCTGCCGGCGCACACCCGATATCTATGGTATGCCTGAATTTGGGCAACCGATATCCATGCTGAAAATTCCACCTGTATGAAACAATAAGTAAAAAAATACCACTACTACCAATCATCAAATCAAGCGATGAAAAATAATGCAATTATATAAATGAAGTTAGAAAGTTGTGTGTGAGTAGTGCCTTGATATTATTATGAGTAATAATGAAAATTGTGCTCGAAACGTGGTCATCAGTAAATATATAACACTGTACAACACTCTGAGACTTAATCAAAACAAATTTCACCCATAATGGAATTAAAATTGCAAAGTTATCGTCGCAGATAGTTATGAATACTGGCAAAAAAAGAAATACGCAAAGTCATTTGGGGTGTATCTAATATATGCAGCACACATATTAATGAAAACAACAAAATAAAGCACAAAATATTTTGACACCCCTTACTTCAGCACCAACAGGCAGCAAATACACCGGAATAATATCGGCTTCTTTGACAATTGCTCTTTGCCCGTCGTCGAAAACAACGCGACAGCTACAGAGAATAAGTAAAACAGGATAGAAATAACATAAATTCAAGTCTTTACAGAGGGAAAGTAATCCCAGAAGGCTGTAGCATTGAGAACTCCACAATGATTGTATAACCGCTACCTAGTTTGAATCCAAGAATTTTCAAAGCTCTATCCACCCACCAAGAAGTACTCACTCGTGTGTGAGTGCCATCATGGGATTATGAGCAGTAGACTGTGCTCGAAATGCCATCAGTAAATAAATAAGTAATACTGTATAACACATGGGGCTTTCATCAAATTAATTTACTCTATCATGGAATTATACTCCTACCGCATTGCGAAAATTTTACTCTGTTCTATCTACCTACAACCTAACCTACAATCAAAGTCTACGATAAATTGGTATTATTTTTCTTTTTAACACACCAATAGTATGATGTATAGTCAAGTTGTGCATGCATATATATATATATATCGCAGTCATCTATCTCTTTCTCAACTTCATCGACTTTGAAAAGTCCTTCGATAGCGCAGCATCGATCGAGAGGTGATTTGGCAACTACTTCGCTACTACCACGGGGTGCCGCCGACAATTATACATCTCATCCAACAGTTGTACGACAATGTTGCATGCCAAGTAATCCACAACGGGAAACTTACGGAATCTTTCGAAGTAAAGACAGGAGTAAGACAAGGCTGGCTGCCCACTATCGCCAATGATTTTCCTGATTGCAGTAGATTGGATAATGCGACAGACAGCGGGCCAGTCAGCGAGGAAACAGGCATAAAATGGACCCACACAAAAAACTTGCAGGATCTGGACTTCGCCGATGTGGTATATACGTCTGATTTCCCACAAAATGCTGGAAGAGATATGCAAGTGAAAAGCAACAAGTTGGCAGAAGAAGCATCAAAGATAGGACTCCAAGTAAACATAGAGAAAACAGAGGTAGGTGATGAAGATTCCTGGGCAACACCAACAGGAACAACAACAGACAACAATCAGCCAGCATAAATGGGAGGAACCTGAAAGAAACAACCTCCTTTACCTACCGACCTGAGAAGCATCCTTTCAACTACGGCTGGCTGGAACTGACGAGGATATCAAAGCAAGGATCGGGAAAGAAAGGCAAGCTTACACTACTCTCAAGTCTGTGTGGAGGTCAACAGTACTCAGAACTACTCAGCATGAAAATGAAAATAAGATCCAATGTGAAGTCAGTTAGTGCTACTCATTATACGGATCAGAGACTTGCACTGCGCGTCATAAAGAGCACCTCAAACAAACTACAGACCTTCATCAACAGCTGTCTTCGCTCAATACCACTGAAGATCAGATGGCCGGTTAGAAAAGATCAGCAACAGGGTGGGATCTCTGGCAATGAGCGAACCAACACAGCAAGAACCGATTGTGCAACAAATAAGCAGGAAGAAATGGAGATGGATTGGCTGGCCGTACTGTGAGGAAACCATCAAGTGAGTGACATCACTAGACAAGCCATTGTTCGAGTGGAACTCGAAGGGGAAGAGGCGAGTTGGTCGTCAGCGTGAGGGTGACTTGGAGGAGGTCATGTGAAAGCATGTGGGCAGACTTGCAGCAAGGTGAAGACTTTAGCAGAGAACCGAACGCAATGGAGACGTTTGACTAGAGCCCTATATTCCTCTAGGAATTAAAGGAAACAATAATAAATAATAATAATAGTTATACATATATATGTATAGGTAAATGTCATGTTTATAGATAACTTCATTATGAATAGTAAATTATGTACAAACTGTTCGTGCTTCTCTCCTTCTTTCATTTACAACCAGAATTGTATTCAGTGATTTGCACCAAACAATTAAATGAAGAATATTGACAAAAGAACTGGACAAATCGACTGTAGTATATGGGAGTATCATCCTACCACCGACTAATCAACATGAGTCGTTCGGTACCACCATTATGGATAAGATTTTATTTCGATAAACTGTCACACAGTGTGCGTAGTGTTATACAGTGTTTTCCACAAAAAGCGGAAAAAGGGGAAAAAGGACGACGCTCGTAGTAAACATTTACTTGTTATTTATCCTCTCTGACACTTTTTGTGTGTATGATGATACCAAACAGAATATCTGATCAGTGTGCTTTGTGTGTGTGTGTGTGCATTTCCTCCCTTAAAATGGTGGTGATTCTGTGTCTTCAAACGTTGCAGGTATGAAATTCCCTTCCAAAGAAGTGTTTCTTTTTATTCTTCAAAGAGAGAAAGAGGCGAAATATAAATATGAGGATTTAAATCATTTTAAGTGTTTTTGACTTTCATTCATCTTCACATAAAGTGTATTGGGTTGTACTGAGTCTCACTAAGTGGCGGTGTATTAATTAAGATACTCCGTTTGCGCTTGCTTATGCTTATGAGGAGTGGTCATCTGAATTGAAGAAAACCAGTCAGTTATGCAAGTCAGGGATGACCACTGTCAACGCGTTTATCTACTTTTATTATTGATGAACTAATTAAGGCATTACTTTTTCACCAGGTTTAAATCTTGCCGTATGTCGTATGGTGAATACACTGACAAAATACTGTCTTGAGAACTTTTTGAGCAGAAACCTTGATATTTCTAGTATTCAATTCGCCCATGTAGGACGTATCTGCATTAATTCCTAGTTTAGGCTCAGTGGCTGAATGTGTTCTTCAGTTTGTTTATTAAAAAAGAGTTGTGTAAGCCGCAATATAGACTAGTGGCAGCACTGTTTATGCGTCAACTTTAGTCAATTCTGGCTGGCGCAGATGTCATATATCTGCTTGTCTGTGAAAAGATGTGTATCGTTTTGAAATTCATTCTTTCCGACTTTACATTTGTAAGACAGACGCCCGCCCATTGAAGGTGAAGCATCAGCATTGGTTAATCATATAATAATTGTTCCTAACAATAATTTCGACAGCATGAAATTCTCACCAACTTTACTTACTTCTAACTTCGTATTAGTTAGTTAGAATATTTGGGTGAAAATAATAATGGTGTCAGGAGTTGGAGTTGCCAAGCTGCACTTAGCTAGTGAGTCGTGCAAAGTTTAACGAAGATTGGACAGCTGAAGTTAGGTTAGGTGATAGGTGATTGGGAGGAAACATGGCACCAACTCATGGAGTCTGACTGTTTGTTACCTTGGGTCACGTAAACAGGTATCTACCGTTTGACTGAGATGTCTCAGGAATTGATATAAGTATGAAACTTCGGCACTGTGGTGGTAGAGTAACTCCATTATGGATAGGATTTTATTTGCATAAATCACACAGTGGTGTTATACAGTAATATTAACTGATGACCACGTTTCAAGCACAAACTATTGCCACTCATAATCATATCAAGTTCTTGATAGTTGGGTACCATTTACATCAATCGAAGTGACTGTCGTCCTGTGTTTAGATCTCACTTCGATCTGGCTAGCAAGCACTACTACTGGTTGATGCCAGTGTTGTCCAACTATTCAATCATGCCAACTAACCAGTTAGACATACATACATACATATATACATACATACATACATACATACATGCATACTACTTGAGAATGACAGTTAGTATCGACTTGTGCACATACTTCCGTGTAGACATTGATAATATCAAGTATAACAGCCTTAGTTAATTTTAAACATACAGAACGGCAAATAAAACCCGCCAAGGAAATGGACATTAAAGTCATTTCATCAATTGGCGCCATACTAAATGCTTACCATGAGGTATTTTCTCTGGACTGTACCTTCCCAGCATAATAATATTCTCCAAATTTCCATTTTCCATAGACCCACGGTTCATCTACAATCAAAAACAAACAACAACAGCAAAAGAAGGAGTAAAACGGAGCAAAAACAGAGTAAGCCATAAAATGCAGGATGAGATGACCGTTGTTTTTAGCAAACTCCAATCAAAGAGGATACTTAAAAAGCATAACTTTTTCAAAGAATAACCACTATCCATGGGTAATTCACAGTGACATCACATCTCCGTCCTCTTATTTTAACCAACAACTGGAACCAATCACATTCCATACGCTAATATCACTCTCATTGAAAGATGAATGTTCCCTCTGGTGTCGTTAGAGTGTTTGCAGAAGTTCGCAACTGGATTATGAGAAATACATGTCAGTATCAGTAACCGAAGTCATTTCAATAACATATAAGTGTTATCTTTCTTTCCATAGCTGCTGCATTATTCATACTATACATACATACACGCACATGCACAGTGCCAAATGTAACAGTGGGACTTGAGCACTGTAGTAGAATATGACTACACATTAGGTAAGTTCATCTAATGTAAGTGGATGACATAACAAGCAAACTTTACTGCCCATATCGCATATCAAGGTGTTCGGATAAAGATAACATACGATAATACATACACACAGTGTTCGTATATATAACTCGACAGAGTCATCTCTGTTCGTTTTTACTTGTCTATTTATAAGGAAACTAACTACTCGAAAGCAACCAGCCAACAAACGATGAACTGTAAGAAACTGTGTCACCATTTGACTGCAGCTTATTAGCCTGGACTGTTACAACCACGCATGCATTTTGCCAAATATTACAACCCAACAGTGACTACATTCATCCAGACATCTAGCTGATGAAAATAAAGTTAAGTGGATTTTGATTACTGAAGCAGAGATCAAACACTCTATTGATTGGCTAGAGCAAATTAGACCCTGAAGAACATCGTGATAATGCTATTAAGTGCGTCATGTTTCAGTGATACATGTGGCCTGCATGCTTTAAATTACTAGTGACGCATAGAGATCCCAATTTATTTGGCAGTTTTTATTTCTTATAGTATACTAGAGACCAAACAACAAAAAATGCAGTATGACCTCTGAAACGAAACATCAGCTTAAATTCGCGGAAGCTTTTCTTCGTTAATTTTCTCTCGTCTCCAGTCGTCATATGCAGTGTCCAGAAATGCCTTGAGTGCAAAATACCATCTGCCCGGGTAGAAGATGATCGCTTCCTTTCAAAGTCTGAAGATTCAAGACTATAATTCA